TTCCATTTAACTATTTTAAAAAATTCCACATATCCCCATTATTTCTTCTGTCCCAGTTACAGTACAATGACAGGGAGGAAGAGGGTTGGTTAAAACAACACTCTATGCAGTTTTCTGCTGTCCCTTCTTTCCAATCAGAGATTTGTGGATGTGAGGAATCACACCTAAATTGAAAGGAAAAACAAGATTATTGGTAAGACTTCTCTAGCATTTATAAATTTTATTCTATAATTCAGTGATAAGTGGTTACATTACAGAAACTATTAGTCACTTTATTTTTTCTATTCTGGAGTTGTCATTCTATACCTTTTTCATTTAAATATTTTATAAAAGTGAAAACATTCAAAAATTCCTTAGCTTTATTCTTGGTTATACAGAATGACTCTCTGAAAGAGGGGAGAGGAGAAATACAAGAAGAAATTTAGGCAATATACAAAAGACATTAATAAAAATTTATTTAAAAAAACACAAATAGTTTGTGTAAGTTAATATTACTAACACACTTTTGAAGATTAGGGCTTTTAAAGTTTTTGTTGTTGTTCAGACCTGTGATTTCATCTGTGTAGGGAACTTCCTTTACCAATGAGGAGCAACAATTATTCTGTAACTTTTAGTCTTAGATAAATAAATGCCTGGGACATTGACAGCTTAAATGACTTGTCCCAGAGTCAAGTGGTAGTCTAGTGTGTTTCAGAGTTGAGACCTGAACCCAGGACTTCTGACTCACAGGCTAGCCCTATATATACTATGTCACACTGCTACTTGATTAATTGGCAATTTGACAAAAATCATTATATAGCCACAAGGCAAGGTTAAAGAGAGGAATGTTTACTTATGGAAGCAAAGTTACATTTATTTTTATGAAAAATTGTACACACAAAGTATAAACCTAAAGAATCAGAGTTAGGGGAACCTTGATAACTTTTGGGCAATTCTCCATGCTGACAAGAGGAAGTTGGTGCCTTTTCTGCTCCTTTGTACTGAAGGATAGACTATGTTTATTATTCTGGAAGTTAGTCACTGTTTAGTGACCTCAGTGGAACTAGATTCATTGCTTTTGGGTATCTTATTGTTCCAATGTACACTCCCAAGTTTTTCCCAGTAAAGTTTTTGGCATTCTTAACAGCTGCATCAAATATGTGAATATTCTCTACCACCTGCAAGTCTTAAATAGTTTGTATACATGGTGATGCTAGGTCTATAGTTTTGAGGATATTTTTGCCTCTAATCCATATGGACCATCACAATTCTGTAGATGGATGCAAGCTCTGTTTCTGTAAATGGTGTATTCAATGTGTCATGTGGCATGAATGTTAAGACAAGTGGTTTGCTCCACTTTTTCATCTTGTGTTACTTGAATAACACCATCAGACAGTAGAATTTTAACCACCATCAAGGCAGGGCAGAGCCTATCAATGCTTAGAACAAGAAGACAAGACTGGGAATTTTGGGAGTGGTATATGTACCACCTCATATTCATTCATCATTCATGCACTCATCACTGTCCTCATATAACCACTAAATCCTCCTCTTTTTAGACCCCAAGTTACCATAATACTAAACAGGTAACTGAAGACACTCTCCAGCAAGTGTGCCGAATAGCTAACTCATTGTTGGCATTGGGATCTACTAGTGAGGCGTAGCTGTGTGTGGTTTGTTCCAAAGTCCAAGATTATGAAGTATTTATTAAAGCACCTACTATATGCTAGATATAGAGAATATAATCTCTATTCACAAGCTTACATTTTAATGGGGGAGACAAGTACTTATATATAAACATATAGCATAAATGTGAAAAAGTACAATTACGTATAAAGTAGTTAAGTAGAAAGTAGTTTGGGAGATAGGACATTAGCAGTTAGAAGGGATCATAAATGGTTTTATGCAATAGATGGTGCTTATGAACTGTCTTAAAGGAAGAGAGACTGTATATAAGGTGGAAATAAAGAGGAAACGAATTCCAGGTATAAGGCATATCCAGAACCAAAGTACAGAGATGAGAAATTTCAGGGGAGAGGAGTGTTGGGTTTGTGAGAAGAACAGTGAGAAGACCAATTTGGCTGCACTGAACAAGAGGCTGCAAAGATGTGGGACTAGGTTGTGAAGGATTTTAAAAGTTCAACAGAAGGATTTATATTTTATCCTGGAGAGAACAGAAAGCAACTGGAGTAGATAGAAGGGGATCTCATAGTCATAACCACACTTAAGGAAAATGACTTAACAATGCCTAGTTAGAAGCTTGGCATAACAGGCTGTGAGGAACAGCATGGCATAGCAGATAAATGGCAGGGCTTGAAGTCAGCAAGACTTATTAAGTCCAAGGTCTGCCCCTGACAAATTGTTATGTAGCACAGGAAAATCACTTAACCTCTGAGTGCCCCAGGAAACAAAGACTTTAAGTTGTTCATTGGTATTGGTAAAGGGAGCTTCTATTAGAAAATCCCCATGTAGATGAAATTACTTCCAATTCTGGAAGTAATAATAATAATAATAATAATAAAATAATAGCAGCAGTAATAATGGGCTGCTTAGAGTTTCCAACCAGTCACTCAAATGCAACTAGATTAATGGCCAGTCATATATACATATATTTATGTATACATGTCCCAAAACTTCCTCTACTTAAAAAGGTTCTACATACCACCACCAGCAATGGTAGCCTTGATAAGGGAGTCCAACTCTTCATCACCACGGATTGCAAGCTGTAAGTGACGAGGAGTGATACGTTTTACTTTGAGATCCTTAGAGGCATTTCCTGCCAGTTCCAGCACCTATAAAAAGTGTTCATGAAATAATTTAAGGAAAATTGAAGAGTTTCAGCTATAACAATTCATACAAGCCAGCTATAACAATTCATACAAGCCAACTTACACAAATATTAGGAAAAATATCATGACAGTATTTGGACATAACAATACAAAATCATAAATATATTAAGGAAATAAATTTTGCTTTCTCTTATTTTTTGTATAGGGCTTTATGCTTTCAAAAGTTCTTTCACATATATTATTTCATCTGATTCTTTGAAAAACACAGAATAATAGATTTAGAGCTGAAAAGGCCAGCCCTTAGAGGCCATCTAGTCCAATTCTCTCATTTTACAGATGAAGAAACTGAGACCCAAAGAAGTCATCAAAGTAGTAGTAGAACCAGAATCTGAACTCAGGTCCTCAGGTTCCTTCATCACTTTTTCTATCATACTATGCTTAGTTGTTTTAAAAAAAAACAAAAATAACAAAACAAAAAAAGAACACCTAAGTCTTTAGGTAATTAATTCTAGCAAAACTAAGAAGTGCATGTTCAAGGAAAATAAAAGGAAAAAAAAAAAACCTACTGCCCCTTTAACTCCACAACCTTAAAGATCAATGTTTTAAAATGAATGCCCATATTCATTTCCTTACTTATTCAGTTTATTTTTACTCAGTACAAATGAACAAACTAAATTTTTTTAGTATCCGTATTTGCATCATTGAGGCAAGTTGAGGCAGCTAGGTGGCACAGTGGATCAAGTGCTGGGCTGGTCAGGAAGACTCATCTTCCTGAGTTCAAATCTGGCCTCAGACACTTACTAGCTGTGTGACCCTGGGCAAGTCACTTAACCATGTTTCTTTGGTTTCCTCATCTGTAAAATGAGCTGGAGAAGGACATGGCAAAGCGCTCCAGTATCTTTGTCAAGAAAATCCCAAATGGGGTTGGACACAACTGAAAAACTACTTAACAACAGGCAAACAGGAGTAGTGGATTGAACATTGAAATTTAATCAGAAAATCTTGGGTTCAAGCCCCACTCCTGATATTTATTTCCTAGATGTGTGACCTAGACAAGTCACAATCTTTCTGTATTTCAGGCAATTCCCTAGGTTGTATCTATTTGTCTTATACAAGCCGAGATCCATCCTGAAGATTGGCGTTCCCTATATTAAAAATTCTTGGTATATAGATAATTTGCATTAAAACAGTCATGTCAAAAACATCACCTTTAATTAGAAGTCTCTGGCTATTTTCCCCAATTGGTTTGTAATAATTTTGGTTAACCAAATTAGGCTCTTTAAGTTATATATCAATGATTTCTTTTTATTTATTGAGGTTGCCAAAGTCTTCTGCTCTAACATAGAACAATTAATTTTAGTGCTAAATAAATGTGTTTTGAATCTTCTGAAATTCTTATGTTTCAAGTTGACAATCAGATGATGTACTTTTTCCTTGCCCTATCTGCATTTTAAATGAATGTCTGTTATCTTCATATAAAACTTCCTGCAGACCTCTGGAATCCCTGATACCGTCACCATCATCCCAGATTAACTGTCAGTGCCTTCAATAAAACAGGGCTTTAGGTGAAAAATTACTGGAAGCAGTGTTTTCCACAGGCAATATTATAAATGTATGATTTGCCAAGAGAAGTTACATTCAACTGAAGAGGTCTTTGTGGTGGGATTTAATTATGCTCTTCTTTAAAAAGCAAAAAACCAATAAATTATGTAATTGTGTGAGCTCCTTGGTTGTACTACATTGACAGGAAACAGAGAAAGGGAAGGAGAGCCCCACCTGTGCAATGGGACTTGGACTAAAGAAAATTCTGTAACTGAATGAGAGATACTGCTTGGGTAGAATCTGGGTTGGCTCCCTGAACATAGAATGGTTTCTCTCTTTCCAAATGGGGAATTTGTGCACTAGCCTATCTCACTCTATTCACTTGACCAGATCTACTCTATTCCAAACAATCCTCTATTCACTTGAATCTCTAAATTTCAAGAGATAAGAGACTTAACTGTGCACTAGCAAGGAGACAATAAGGTTGACTCTTTATCTACATGATATTAAACAAGCACTACATCTGTCAGCATAAATCCACTGAACTGAACTAAGCATCTCTTTGAAGCTTAATAGCATCTTCCAGAGTAACTCAGTATCAGGACAGATAAGAATAAATTAATTTTTAAGAAATTATATATATGTATATGTATATATATGTATATATATGCTTGTTTAAATGTATTTTCGGTGCTTGCTTTGGCAGTACATATACTAAAATTGAAACAATAGAGAAGATTAGTATGGCTCCTAGGAAAGGTTGACATAAATTTGTGAAGTGTTCCACATTTAAAAACATATTTGTATGTATGTGAGAGAACCTATATAAAGAGTTTTAAGGTGTGTTAAATCAAAGAATAGAGATCATAATTTACAGCCCCACAAACTCCTTAATTTGCCCAATTCTTAATTCCCTCAGTGATGACAGCTTAAAACCTTTAAAATCATTTTTGGTTCCTTCCTATCATTGCCTATGTCAAGTATCTCACACAGTCTAGCTGACTTTTCTGTTAAAATATCTCTTGGATTTACCCTTTTCTGTCCATTTCTTATTGCTACCTCAACCCAAACCGAAAGCTAGCACTTCACATATCTTCACATATCGATCATCACAATAGCCCTCTCATGGTTCTCATGGATTCTTCCAGTGCCTACAAATCTCCAACTTTCATAAGTAAAAGTAGTTTCCTCATCCACAAGTTCCCTAGACCACTGAAATTCCAGGTCCAGTAATTATTTCCTATTGAACTTCTCATTTCAATCACATACAGACCTATATGCACTCATCCAACTCCTCTAAAATGTGTTCTTTATCTACCCAAATCCTTCTCAAACTTCAAGGGGGTCTAAATCCCATAGTTTCTAAGGTCTGATATGCTGGCCAAAATGTATTATATTAGGGTCATGATACAATGAAGTCTAGGGACAAGTTCAGATCACCTGCCCCCTCTGACACTACATATACAAGTGACCTTGAGAAGGCACTTGCTTCCCCTCATCTTAACCCCCCCCCACTCAGTTTGCTTACCTGTAAAAGGAAAGGTGGACTAGGTAGGCCCTGAAACCCCTCCTAACTCTGAATCTAAACTCCTATTATAATTTTCTGGTAACCAATGATACATTGCCTGATAATGGAACAACAAAAGGAAACAACTACCCCCACCCCTAAGGAATTGTAAGCTACTTGAGAGTAGGAATGAGGTCTTATCATAGCTTTCTTTTACTTACCCCTAGAGAAGACAGAATATTGCTAGGCATATAGAGAAGCTAAAGACTTCAAAACTGAATACAGTATTTGAGACAATGTATTCACATAACAGTTTTCTAAAAGATCTAAAACTATATATGTGAAGTTGATTTACTTTAATAATAATAGCTAACATTTATGTAGTGCTTATTATGTACCAGGTACTGTGGTAAGCGCTTTACAATTATTATCTCATTTGATCCTCACAACAACCTTGGGAGGTGGGTGCTATTATTACTGTCATTTTACAAATGAGGAAACTGAGGCAAATGGAGGTTAAGTGACTTGCCCAGGGTCACACAGCTAGTAAGTGTCTGAGGCTGGATTTGAACAGTTCTTGGCAATACTTGTCAATATCTGGATCTAGAGTCAATCTTTAATAGCTGAAGAGTTGAGTATACAGTCTCTGCAAGTATAATACCAACTACAAAGTATCAGGGCTACCTAAACTGTTTAAAGAAAAAAATTGTGTTCACAAATAAAGGTTTAAATAAAGTCACAAACATCTGAATTTCTTATGGGAGATAATCTAGTTTTTAATCAGCTTTTTTCTCACACGTGTCGAAAAGATATATTTTTTCTGTCCTTTATTTGAGTCCATTCCAATTGAAAGGGCAAGACTATTTCTTTTCCAATCTATGAATAAATAGCAATAGGAAGGGGCAAAGATTAGTCAGATAAGGCAATACGATAGAAATCTTTTCACTGATAGCCTATATTTGAAAAAAAGTCTTTTTAAAAATAAAAATTAAGATAATTTTATATAACCAACTTAAATTTTATACAACTTAAATCCATCCAATCTTAATGTTTAAATAATCAGATTAAATAATAATCTGTTTAAATAAATAATCTAACTAAATAAAGTTAGTTAGTGTATATGTAATACTCCTGATTCTAATCTTTCCACTTTGCATTCCAGAGTGTTTATATATTTTGTTATTTATCATCATAAAATATTCCACAGCTTTGACATACCAGTTTTGCTATCTCCAAGCTTTCAGGCATTTGGGTTGTTTCCAGTTTTTGATGATTATAAATAGAGTAACTATAAATATGTCTGTACAAATAGGTCTTTTTTCCTTTTCAATTATTTCCTTGGACCATATTTCCAATAGTGAGACTGACTACTCAAAGAGTGAGTTTTCACAGATCTTACTTCATATTATTAATTGCTTTTTGAAAAGACTGTGCCACTTTTTTTTTTTTAACCTATCACTACAATGTAAATGTACCTCTTTCTCCATAGCTATCTGAATCACAGGCTGTCATGTTTTCATTTGGGAGGAGGAGAGGTTGGGGAAAGAAAGACCTGGACTTATGATTTCATTGGTATAGGGACCTCCAAGTGAGTTAAGCTCCCTCCACCAATGAACATGGGCTCTTCAAATCTTCTCTTCGAGAGCTGCCAGGGGCATTAAGAAGTTAGGACACCTTCCTAGTGTCACATACTCAGTATGTATCCAAGGCAGGTCTTGAACTCAGGTCTTCCTAACTCTGAAGATAGCACTCTAACCATTATATGAAGCTGACTCTCAGAAATTTACATATCTTTTTTTGGGGACAATTTACTGGGTACCACAAACATTTTTCAAAATGTTTACTTATTATTTGCTTTTATGAATTGCCTGTTCACAGCTTTTGATCATTAGAGACTTATTATTGGAATTACAATTATAATAGTTCATCTTAAATTGTAGAAATCATGCTTTTCTAAGTCATGCTTATCAGAAATATATTTCCCCCATTCTGCTTTTAGACATTTTTGCTTTTAATTCAATTACTTTCCACATAATAAAACTTATCCTTACTTCTTTTGCTGAGCTTCAATAGACAAAAATCCACTCCAAAATACATTTAATATAATCATACATTTATAGCCTATATCAGATTGCATGCTGCCTTAGGGAGTGAAGAGTGGAGGGAGCGGGAAAAATTTAGAACTCAAAATCTTATAAAAATGAATGTTGAAAAAAGTCTTCCACATACATGTAGAATAATTGCACTTGGAATTTATTATAGTAATTAATAATTTCTTCTCTATGATCATTTGAGGCAAGCAGCCCAATAACACTACTTTCACATGGACAAGAAAGGATTTGCCTATTTACTGGTTTTAAGCCTTTTCCCCAATGCTTATGGCAAACATAAAAAGGTTTTTGTTTGTCCTCCCCAGCAAGATGTAATCCCTTCTATGCTTCTCTCCCTCCCTTTGCCACTGGCCTACTGACAAAGCCTGGGGTGCCCAGAAGGTTAATGCAGTGCAGAGATGGAGAAACCTGTGCTTCTCCGTTTTGAGCATTAGAGCTGGCAAGTGGCCTATAGCTGACAAATTTACATATGGAAAAATCCATAAGCAATTTCAAAAAGCAAAACACAAAAATACAATTCAAATGATTCATTTCTCTAATTTAATCAGCTTTATTATATACTAAGATGTTCTATGTATATGAATCTATTTCTGGAATCCCTCTAATTCTTATCATGTTGCATAGATGATGAACCTGAGTCTTCAATGATGGACCTGAGTTCAATTCCAGGTCTATGTGAACCTAGGCAAGTCACTTAAACTCTCTTGAGCCATTTTCTCTTCTATAAAATAGGTATAATACTTTGTAATACTTGGACCTCACAGGGTTGTTGTGAGGAAGTTACTTTAAAGTATAAAAAATTTAAAGCAAAGGCAAATTTTATGTAGCTTCAAGAGTTATATGAGTTATATTTCTATACTGTTCCATGGTTCTATTATTCTAACTGGTGCTGTAGTAGATCCATAAATTAACCCGGGGAATAATGTCATTTTTACTGTTTAATGTTCTCAACCACAAAAGAAATCACTCTCCACTTATTCAGGCCTTCTTTTGTTTCCGCTATTGAAGTTTTATAGTTTACTTTGTGTATTATGTATTTATTATTAGGTTAATATTAAAATATATAATCTTTTAAAATCATTTTTACAAATGGCATCTCTTTCTAAAACCTCTTCTGTAAATGTGACTATAAAGTATTTCTGTGGGTTCATTTTACATGATTTACTGAATTTATTTATCATGCACTTAGCATAGTGCCTGGCACATAGCGGTGCTTAATAAATGTGTGTTGAGTGAATTTTAATGGGGTGAGATGACTTTTTGGATTTTCTAGGCACATATACACATCTGCCTAAATAAGCTTCAGTAATAGTTATTATTTATACAGCACTTAAGAAATTTACCTCATTTAAATCCCACAACACTGTGAGGTGGATACTATAGGTATAGCTTTTTTTATAGAAGACAAAACTAAGGGTCAGTACAGTTAAATGATTCATTTACCCATTGTTATACAGAGAGCAAGCATCAGAGACCACATTTGAATTCAAGTTCTTCCTGGATCCAAGTCCAGCCCTTACATACTATGCTAAAGAGTTTTTCAAAATAAACAAACTAACTTTCTAATATATTTGCAAAATATATTTTGTGGGAAAGAAGCTCGCCAAAATAAATTCGTGAAGTAAAAAGTGCAGTGAATACTTTTTAAAGATAACATTTACATCTGAGCTATGAAAAATATTTATTATCCAACAATATGGCTACACTTAAGAGAAATTACTAAAAGGCATTAATAAGCTAAATCAAACTATACACAAACATACAGACACACATATATCCTTATACTGATTACAGTGATCTGTAATCTTTAAAATAATCTAGGGATGAATCTTTGAATATCTTAAAATATGGCTTGTGGTGCCCTATTTATGAAACTTATAAGGTTACACAAATATAGTTGTCTCAAATGCTATACAACAAGCTCTCATTTTTCTAGAATCCAGCCACCAAAAGTCCTAAATAACCAGACTCAGAAACAGTACTAGGAAGTGTATGAGTTTTTTGACAGCTATTTCATCAACTCAAGGAGCACCCCCTTTTCTTTGATCACTTCAGTGTGCATAGTCATGTTCCAGCAGATTGAAGGTACCCAGAATTTGACCTGTAAAATAATTAAATCTGCTTTTCTTCAAGCACCAGTTTGAGATAAAACATAATTCCTCACATTTAATTTCA